TTTTTTTTTTTTTTTTTTTTTTTTTTTTTTTTACATGTTTAGATAAATTTATTTAAAAATGTTTACAAAAAAGAATATGGTGGAAACTAAAATATTTTTTTTATTAATTAAAATTAGTTTATATATTTAATTTGTAAAAGTTATCTTATATTAGTTTCTTTAAAAGTTTTTTTTTAATTCACCAATAAGCTAATCTCACATTATAGAAGAAGTTAATTTCATTTTTATTTCATACTTTCTTTTCCTATTAATTAATTAGTAGTTCCTATTGTCCACACGATCTATGCATCTCATACAAAAGTTATATGGTGAAGTGTTCTTTATTACCATTCATACCAAGTTTGCCCTTAAGGTTTAGTGTAAGAGTTAATCGTAATTTTATTTCTAAATTGGAGATCAAATCTTAGTCTTTAGTTTATGTAATGGTGACATTTTAAAATCTTAGTCTTTAGGGTTTGTAATGGTGACATTTTCAATTGCAGATTATGTTTCTAAAATATACATGAAATTACTTATATATAAATAATAATAATAATAATAATAATGAAAAGAATTTGTATAATTTCTCACAGAGTTTATTGCTTGATTATGATGATTTTTAATTTTTTTATGAATTAATTGTGGAGAGAAGAAGACAATAAAAAGGAGATTGAATAGTATTTATTGAAAACTCAATACTTTTTAAAATAATGAAATAGTTAAGTTAACCTAAAAGAGTTCAAGTGAAGTAAATCATAGCACAAGAGATATTTTTATATTAGTTTGTCTAAATCATCAAGACTATGTTAAGTTCTTGATCAACTTGATCAAATTTTACCATTTTTTTTACAAAAAGACAAGTATTTTTAATCGAGACACTTCTTACTCAACTTAAGTGTTCTTTGATTTTTCGCTTCAAGCAAACTACTCAAATATTCTCTAAACAACAAAATCTTTCCGACCTTCAACACCAAATGTTCTATAAAAGAAAAACAGAGTATTTTCAAACTTCAAACTAAAACATACATTTTAAGTTAGTTAAAGATAACTGAAAAGACTCATCTTACTCACAAGAGGTAATATAACTTTTAGGTACAAAAATAATTTTAGAGATTTTACAAAGAATGAATAAGTAAGATTGTTGATTCTCTTTTTTCTCGATAGCCTCAAACTTCTTTATACAGGTGATGGATAATGTATAATTGATACATCATTTAGAGCATTACATTGGACTAATTTGACATTTATAAGTGTCTTATGTTGGAGAAAAAAGATACACAAAAGCAAGGGAGGTTGAATAATGTATATCAAAAACTCACACTTTTGAAATGTAGTGAAGTAGTAAAAACTTTGACAGACGAAGTACCAAGAAGTAACAAATGAAAGAACATAGATTTTTTTTATATTGGTTCGTCTCAAAGATAGAGATTACGTCCAGTTCTTAATTCAATCAGATTGGGTTCTACTATCTTTTTCAAGATACAATTAGTATTATTCTCTCAACAAGCCACTTCTGGCTCAACCTAAGTAATCTTTGACTTGCCTCTTCAAGCAACTATCCAAGTATTTTTTCAACAAGCCTCTCTAGGCTTAATCACCAAGTTTTTTTTTACAATCAAGCCTGTCCAAGCTCAAACACTATGTATTCTTTTAAACCAAGCCTCTCCAGGCTCAATCACCAAGTATTAATTTTTTAAACAAGTCTCTTCAGGTTTAACCCTTACAAATAAATATGAAAAAAGTTACAAGGATAGCTTGCTATGAAACTTAAACACAAATAAACTATACAAGACAGAGTTTTTCTACAAGGTATGCATTTAATTTTCTTTTATTTTCTTGCTAACACTTTCTTATTGTATATCTTTTTCTTCTGCACTTCCTTTCTTTTGTTCTTGATTGAGAATCCCTTATATAGTAGCTTGGAAAAAATGACCATTGAGTAATCTTCTCACGATGCTTCATCTGTCTTCTATTCGAGATCAGAGAGAGAGAGAAAGTAAATTAGTTGTTGCTGCAAGCATTGAATGCTTTGCATGAAAATGTCCATCTCTTCTCTGATCTTTGCAGTTACTTATCATCATCTCGTTTAGGTAAGACAAAAAAGTAGTGGTTGAATCAGAGTAGTGTGGCATGTTTAGAGTTTCTATCCACTTTTCCGTGATTTCTGGGATCTTTCTCTTTCTTTCTGACACAAGGATTTGACTTTCCATTTTTGGCAATTTTTGATCTCTTCGAGAAAGTTTTCTCATTTAATCTATTAAGGAATAAAGTATTCAATGCTCTTAAAAGATAATCTGAGTTTATAACGAGAAATAAATGTAACATTAATTCAAATTATGTGGTTCGTCTGATGTACTTCGTCTTAGAGACGAAATATGATGTTTGCTTCATCTTAAAAAGATTTCCTGAAAAATTTCGTTTGTTATCATTAAAACTTATAGCTTCTCGAGGCTCGAGGGATTCAAGGTCATTTTTTTATTTTACAATCAGTCCCTTTTTGATGATATTGACAACAAATTTATAAAAACTTTCTCTTTGTTAATCCTGTAAGAAAAACGTTTTATCTAATAAAGATTATTAATTTAAAAAGAAAGCATATGAAAAGATCATATATTAAGAAATTGGCGCAATCTGTAAGCGATTTTTAGTAAGAGACTGAGGTTGACTGTTGAGATTTCCGTTAAAACCACTTTTGTTATCACTTTAAATTATTATTGTTTTGTCAACGGTCTCAAACACGGCAAGTATACCGGCCGTTCAAGTAGTAAAAATATCGTATCCACAGGGATTAGAAGGTAAAATAAGCATTTATTGACTATTCATGACTAAAGAATAATTCCAAATCGTAGTTTGTCATGTATGGGAATTAAAGAGCATGACTATTGGAATGAAAGCTATAAAAATATTTGTTTGTGAGTGGAAAAGGTTGGAAATGGTATTGTGGTTTTTGTGAGATTGTGGGGTCAGATTTCACCAAATGTTAAACTAATGAATCCTTAATCACTTGTTACATGCATTGCTTAGTCAACCCATAAGTTTACTCAAACCTAATCCCTTAGAGCAAGAGCCTAGGTGCGGACATTGAATATCAATCCCTTGAGTACCCAATATCCACACCCGCATTACGGACTAGGGTTTAAGACTACTAATGGGCCAAGCTCTATTCCTAGATACATTTCCCACTAGGCATTTGTTTCAGAGCTAGTTTCAAAGGTTATTTTCCAATACCCATGGAACCTATATCATGCAAGGAGAATCAATCCAAGGCAAGCATTAAGAATAGAAACAATACAACAATGAATGAACAACATATATATCATTGAAAACGTGAGGATTACACTAGAATTCGTTGGTTACATCTAACCCCACAAAAAATGGGTAGAACCACTCAACAATGAGGGTAAATACAAAATAGAGATGAAAGGAGAAATGAAGAACCGAAGGAAAGACCCACACACGAACGGCTCCAAGCTCCGGGAATCCCTTCCACAGCTCCTAAAACGCGCCCAATGTGTGAATGAGGGAGAAACCCTCGAAAATGGCTTCAAATACGAGCTTGGGGAGATCAGATTAGGGTTTCGCGCCCAGCGCATAATTCTTAGCGCCCAGCGCAGGGCCTTCCAGGGAAGTTCAGCGCTTCCTGCCTAAGTACACGTTCGGCGCAATTCCTATTGCGCCCGGCGCAATGTCTTCCAGAGAAACTCTCTGTCTCGATCATGCCCGGCACGGTTAATGTTGTGCCCGGCGCAACCACTCTGCTCTGCTCCTTAGCTCCTTAGATTTCCAATCCTAAGAGTCTTCAACTTTCCACTCTTCACTCAATACCTGCACAAAAATGAGGTGGATTAAGGTATTGTTAGATGAATTTGGGTTAGTTATATCTGCACACAAAATGAACCAAAAAGAGAACAATTATATTGCAATGGTTCAAAGGATGAGTGGAATTTGTTTAATAAGTCTCATCCAAAAAGAGGTAAAATTGAGACTTAACAACTCCCCCAAACTTAGAACCTTGCTTGTCCTCAAGCAAAAGGTAATTAATCTAGCAGATAACAAGCAATGCAAGTGAGTCAATTTCTACATCCTAGTTTACTTGTATCTTCTTTTCGCAAGCATGAACCTCAGATGAATTTCCAATCACAATTAT